TTTTTATATTTGAGAAAGTAAATACTCAAATACGTAAAATAAATACTCACTATAATAATAATAAACAGAGACAGGAATTTATTGAATGTACCTAACATTGAAATAGTTTATGTTATTACTTCGGGTCATTTTGTCTTCACTTCTTTCTTTTGAATTTCTGGATTCCCTAATTCTAAATTCCGGAGATTATCTAGATTCCATAGATTGTCTACGTTCTCTAGTTTTATGTTCTCTAGAGTCTCTAGATTCCGTAGTTTTTTATTGACATCAATATTAATGAATTATAATGAATGCCTTGAAGGAGTTAATTGTAGTAATATTTGGTAATAAAAAAAATCTGAGATGAGAAAATTATCGATATCAATTTCTTCATATTTTTATTTCTTCATAATTTCAATTTTTTATCAATCACCAAATAATCACCAAATAAAAAATCAAATCTGTAATAAAAAAGAAATTGAAATATATAATGAAAATACCAAAATTAATGGATTCTAGTTCTAGATTTTGTAGATTGTTTAGATTTTCTAGTTCTACGTTCTCTAGAGTCTCTAGATTCCGTAGTTTTTTATTGACATCAATATTAATGAATTATATGAATGCCTTGAAGCAGTAATAATATTTGGTGATAAAAAAAATCTGAGATGAGAAAATTATCGATGTCAATTTCTTTATATTTTTATTTCTTCATAATTTAAATTTTTTATCAATCACTAAATAATCACCAAATAAAAAGTCAATTCGATCAAATCTATAATAAAAAAGAAATTAAAATATATTTGAATTGAACCGAAATTAATTAAGAAAATAATTAAGAATTAAATATGTATAATTTGTATAGTAAATAAATATTAACAATTTTTATTTGGGATGAAATAATGGTATATCAAATTTAATCAAACAAATTTATTCAGAATAAGTTTTTAATAAGTTCATTAAATCTTATTCTTCGATAAATAGCAATCCTTATAAGATGTTTATAAACTATCCACAAAATTTATTAAATTATAAAAATTTGTTTGAATTATTATATAAATCATAACGTATCTTCTATATTCTAAATATTTCGAAGTCATATTTCATTGAAATATCTCGCACTCTAATGAATATATACATATATATATATATATACTATATATACTATATATAGTATATATACTATTTATATATTATATATATATTATATATATATACTATATATACATACCATACTATGCGTCACACCATAGAAAAAGTCGACAGCTTTAAATTATTAACGATTATTCTTTTAAATAAAATATCTTTAAATACTATATAAATATATAATAAATATTATATATATATGTTTAAATACCTTTAAAACATCAATTTTCTATATCGTTCATAATATCAATTAAATATATCAATATAAATATCAATTAATTCAATTTGATCTATATTTATAACAGAAGAATTTACAATGTATTGATCAATGTAATAAATTTGGCAATTATTATATTATGGTGGATTCTTATCGATTTTTATGATTTTTGGATATGTATGTAGAAAATAAGATTTTTAACAATTTTTTTTTTGCATATTACCGTTGTTTGGTTTTAGTTTTTGAGATATTTGCAAAAAAAATTGTTATTCTCACTTCTATACTTATATCTTACTTCTATATAATTTTTTTTACACATCTGTAATCACCACTGTGTACCACATGTAAATATCATAATGGTCGATATTCAAAATATAAGGCATAGATCAAAAATCTATTTATTTTTAGATTATGTTAAATTTAAAATGTCTCAAATTATCTCAAATATCAATGCCGAATTTGACATATTTCACGGTTCAAAGAAAAAAAAAAATAAAATATGAAACAATTCTTGGATCGAATGTCCAAACTCGATATTGAATTTGAAATATTTTAAGTCCATCATAATCTACGAATAAATAGATTTTTGATTAGTTCACCCGTTATAATATCTTAATTACCTACTGCCATCATGTGTTTATATTTACAGAAGATCGCATGTTTATACGCAATCAAGGATATATACATAAAAGAAATTCTATGTAATAATAGCAATCTTTTTTGTAGTGATATGCAAAGTAAAAAATTGTTCAAAATGTTTCTATAACATATCTAAAAATTATTGAAATCAACGAAAATACTCTATTTCAAATAACTATCTTTTTGTTATATAACAATGAATTATCAAATAAGATAAATGAAATTAAATTAATTTCTTTTTAATTGATATCAATTAATAATAAATAAATAAATAAAAAAAATAGAACAATAAAAGTATGCTTGTAATTAAATATATATCTTAGCAAATATTTATGACATAAATACGAAAACTTACAGCCTGATTTATCGTTTACAAATGTATATCTAATTGACATATCTAATAATAAAAAAATAATCATAATTGATATAATTATGATATATAATTTAAGTTTCTAAATATTAAAGTTCATGAATTTCAAAAATTTTATAGAACAAAAAAAAATAATAAATAGAAATATAAGGATAGAAAAACGAAAAAAAGAAAAGGATAAAAAAAAATATCAAAGAAAGAGAAGAAGAAAAATAGAAAAAACAATACACATCTGAAATATAATATATATATACAATATATATATTATATATATATATACAATATATATATATTATATATATATAATATATATATACGTATATGTATATTTACAATATACATTTATCCATATAAAAATTATAATCAATAATATTGATAGATTCAAAGATAAAATGAAAATGGCAATACAACAATTTATTTTTTATATTATACATGTACATATACATACGCAATTAAATACATATATCAAAATTTCGTTAAAATTTTTTTCTGAATAAATAGTGTTTAAATTATGTTAATTATTAATTACAAATATTTATTTAAAAAATCAATGAAATTAATAAAGATAATGAATAAATCTTTATAAACCTCATTAAAAAATATTTTTTAAATATTAATTAATAAAAATTTTATTTTATTATAAAACTTTATCAATTTAAAAATTGAAATCATATCAGATAATTAATTCATATTAATTTATGAAATTAATTTATAATTGATATATAAAACTATCTTAGCATAAAGAAAATGAGACTAAATATATATGTGAAATATTTAATAAATTATATAATTTATGTAAATTCTCGTAATATTAAAATATTTTTTTAAAAAATTAATCTGTTAACTTTTTTAAAGTTTCACTATTTATTGACACTGAATTTTTTATATTTTTAATATTTCCACAATAGATAGAATAATACGTTTTTATAACATGCACGTACCGATGGTTGATGGTCAACTGTCAATTTATCTCACTATCGCGCGAAAAATTTGCCATATAAACGAGATATAGAAAAAATGTAATTCAATGCATTTTTTTGTTCAATGCAGCACAAGAATTAACTTATTATTTTAATGTGATTCTTAATATTAATAATTCGATTTAGAATAGAATTGAAATTGTTATTAGTTGGAAATGAAATTAAAATTAATAATATAAAATTATGAAAAGTAAGACAAATATTTTGTTACACAATATCTTACAGACATATATGAAATATTTATATTTTACAGATTCATTATGAAATCAAAAATATAATATTTACTATAATAATATTAACATTTTTTATATTAAAGATTAAGATCATAGTTTTGTAATAAGAATGTGTTCATGAAACTATATTTATTAATATATGCTTTCTCATGTGTCAAGAGAAAATATAGAGGAATATAAACAGGAAAAGAAATAAAAAATAAATTAAAAAAAGTTTAAAAAATTTCAATCAGCGCCATTCTTACATTGCTACAAATGAAACAAATAGAAAACACAAAGAGAATAAATAATAGAACAAAAAAGTATATTATAGAATTGTAAGTAATTGTAAGAATTGAACTAATCATTACTTGGAATACTTTTACAAAGAAAATTTGATAATAATATCATATAAAATAAATAATATCATGAACTATATATTTAAATATATATATTATTTTAATACAAAATTTTAAAGAAATACTTTATTTATATTTATTAATTATTTTATTTTGTGAAAAATATTTTACATAAAAAAACATTAAACATAAAATAGTATAAAACGTATTAATCATTAATGATCACGACTTAATGATTTTCGAAAATATAATTTAAAATAGATATATTATAGATAATAATCAAAATTTAAAAAATAAAATAGATTCATTCTAAATTTTTTATTTTAAAATAATTACACATATATTCTATAATATAGTAAAATAATTCAATCATCAAAATTTATAAAGATATACGAATGAATGAAAAAACAAATGAACAAACAATTAGCAAAAACCTCAAAAAAAGAAATCTTGATTAATATTTCAACTATACCATATTTAAAAAATAAAAAATTACAATAATTTGAAATTTAATAATTCAATTTATAATCTTACTATATCATGAATAATATTATTAAGAATTTACATAATTTTAAAAATTAAAATTTTTATAATACAATTAAAAAATTACAATATTTCTATCTTATACATTAATACTATCTTAAATTATCAATAACAAGCCTAATTAATCAAACAATATATAGCATGCATATAGCATATAGCATATATAGCATATAGTTAATGAAACAAAATATATGAAATATAATTGTGAATAGCGAAACGATTAAAAAAAAGTATATTACATAATCTAATCATGAAGAGATTGTGTTCTCCAAATTCTTTAAAGGCATGAAGGAATCATTTTTTAATGATTTTTTTGAACAAAGAAAAAGATATATAAATCATTTGACAAGAGATTTAACTCGCAAGCCACTAGTTATCCAATTTTGACATATTTTATGACAAATTTTAGATTTTTATTTTTTATCAAATGTTATTTTATATTTCATTATTCAATATGTTCATATATCATTAACTTTTTATTATATAAGATTTTCATTAAATTACATAGGTCCAAATCCTAAATAAAACACAAAAAATTAATACAGCACTTTATGTGCATCAATATAAATTTATAAACATACTAAGATTTAGAGGTGGATGTGGTCTATACATATTTGGTGGAATGAATCGTGGTGGTGTTAATGGACCAATATACCTAAATCTTGGTACTTGTTTTTGCATTGAAACCCAAGGTCTAATCATTATTGGTTCTGATGGAAAATTCTAATAAGAAAATATAATATTATTAAAATAATAATTATTAAGATATATTAAAAAATTTTCTTTTATAATTGAAACGTAAAATAAATACTCACCCTATAATAAACAGGAACAGGAATTTGTTCAATATAATTAATATTGTAATATAAATGTTTGTTATAATGTTTGTTATAATGGTTATGTTTGTAATTGTAATGGTTATGTTTGTAATGTTCGTAATTGTTATTGCAATTGTAATTGTTTGATAAAGATGAAATTGATCTACATTCTCTAGATCTTTCTCGTTCTCTTCTATCTCGAGATCGTTCTCTCAATGTTTCTCGATATTCTTGATAAGAATTTTCATTTTTGTGTGATCTGTAATAATATTTAATTAAAATTCAATTTTTAACAAATACGATATATCACATATTTCATGTATTTCGTTTCATACTTTTGCTCTCGTTCTCTTGAACGAGAATAACGCTTACGATTTGTCTTTTCTTGTAAAAGTTTTTCATTGTATAATTTTTCATATTGCCTGTCCTTTTTTTTATATTTTCTATTTCTATCTTTACTGCAATTTCTTTCCCTGAATAATAAATTATATTAATAAATTTAATTATATAAAAATTTTTATTAAATCATTTAAGAAAATAAACATATTAAATAAATATGTAAAATTTTAAGTAGTTATGTTATCATATATTTATTATTTCTATTCTATCTTGTGGAAAATTTAAAAAGATACAATTAATTGATAAAGATTCTAGTTTCTAGATAATTATATATAGATTAATTATATTGTATATTAAATTTAAAAGTTAATAATAGTAATATATAATGCTTAATTTATGCTTATTTTTTTATATAATATTCTATATACATATATACATAATATTAATTTTTTTGCAATTCAATTATTATTATATATTATTTTATCCAATTAGGAAAATATTACATTAGTATGATGTAAGAATATCAAATAATGTGTAAATATTTTTTCGCTTTGCTAGCGATTTTCTCGTATATGAATAATATTTATATAAACATTAATTTAAAAATTTTTTAATAAAAATTAATTTAAAATTTAATTAATATTACTTACCTTCTTTCTAGTAATTTTTATTAATTATTATTATTATATTAACATTATATTATTTGAATAAAAAGCATATCTAAAAATTTTATATTATATCAATGAAAAAAAATGCTAATAATAAATTCTATTAATTATCAATAAAATAATAAAAAATTTATATTAATTGTTATTTAGCAAAAAATATCAAAGTATCAAAGATTTTATAAATCTATATTTTAATATTTAAAATAAGTATTGTATAATGTTATTTTTATCAAAAATATATGGAAAATATTATTATAAGCATAACAGCTACAATGTGGAACATTATGACTAAAATGAACCACGGCACAGGAAACAACACATCGATTGTCATCGAAATTAAATATATCGATAAAGCAAGAATTTAATATCGGTCATGAAGTAGAGCAAAATGTTCTCTGTTTTCATAGAGATTATTGTATTTTATAGTAGTTACCATAGAAAAAATAAATTCAAATTGATATTAAATTGTATGTATAAATAAAATTATTATTAAGGAAAAACGAATGATAATGGATGCAACATTGGTATCAGAAATGGTCTGTTGGATGGTATGAGGATTCTTCTTTAAAAAAGAAAAAGAAATGCCTACTGATACGAATTTCCTCGAAAGAAAGCTCTTTTCTCGTAGAATTGATGATTGATTTTCATCATTGAGGAACAATTCACAGAACATCATCATCTTTTAAATAATCGATGGGAAGAGGAATATCGGCCATTTCTACAAAATGAAGCAGCGATAGAGAAAGTGGAAACTCAACGATGTGCAATAGAAGATGAAAGATTGCTCATTTCGAAGAGCAATATCACTATCTTTTATTATTAAGTAATCCTAGAATATTTGAATAGCGAAAACGGACAGAATAGATAACTGCCTTTGTAAATAATTCGAATATTGTAAATATTGAAAATTATGCAGTTGTATCTGAACAGAATCATTCTCGTTAATGCTCCATTTTCGAATATGTATATATATATATATGTATTTGGATACGTGACAAAAAGCTTCTATGTTTTGATGGATTTTTATCTTAGAAAGAATTCAAACTACAATTCAAATACAAAAGATGATGGTTCGATAAAGAAGTGTGCTGAAACAAGATTCATTTTAAGAGGAAAATGAAATTCTTCTGATATAAGAGGAATTCTTCTGGTGAATTGAAAAAGAAATTTACTTGTTGAAATTTAAAATTCGAGAAAAATTCAAGAAAGAAAAATTCAACGCAGAAGATGCAAGTAGAGGACGAGACTCGGTGAATCCAAAGAAAGATAATAATATTCAGATATTAACGTTTTATTCAAGATTTTTCCGTGAGACGAAGAACAAATGTCGAAGCATTTACTAGAAGAAAATCACACAAGTAATAAAAATTTATAAATTTCTTTTTCAAATAGAAAAATATCCAATAGTAAATAGAATGAAGTTAAATGAAGTTACCGCGAAATGCCTGCATTTTTTTTTTGAAGAGGAAGATAATGTTGGCACAGAAGATGACAAATATTCTTGTTCAATCCTGCTATTTCTTGTATCTCTTGTGAAGCAAGGCTGAAACAAAAAAAACTATAGTAACACATAGTAAAACATATAAAAAAAAATATATATAAAAATAAAATAAAACTTAAAAATGTACAATTATAATAATTATATAAATATACAATTATAATTGAGATAATTATAAATATAGATTAAACAATTAACAAAACAATATATAGGATATCGCAAAAATGTTGAAATATCTACAAAATTGAAAATTTCTGGGATAATTTCAAGCAACATTTTCCTTTATAAAAACTTTCGTTACGAATTTGTTAACGAGTTATTAACAAAAAAAATACTAGTCAATTATGAAATGCGTAGTCTAATTAAGCCGCGACAATAGCATTGGTTACATTCTGCCGATACGAATAAATGTCCAAGTAGCATATCTCAAAAAAAATATATTGAATATTATATTTAATTATTCATTATTCATGATATGATTCGATATAATTTTTTATCGATAAAAAAATATTTGTTGTTTTCAACATAATTTCTTCGAATTATTTTGCTTGAATTTATTCGTCGATAACACGCAATATTGGGTTCTATGATTAATATTTAATTAAGTAATTAATTAATTAATAATTTAGAATTATTAATAAAGTCACAAATGAAAATTTTTGCAAAAAAAATGTTGCTTGAAATTATTTCAAGAATCTTCAATTTACAATGATGTCTCAACATTTTTAATACTCTTTATAAATGACACTCTTTATAAATGAGCTATGTATCATAAGAATATATTCAAAAGTAAATAATCAATTTGAAAACATTGTTTTTAAATATATTTCATAACTGTAATCAAACTTTTAAAAAATTCATGAATTTATGAATATATAT